AGAACCATGGATCGGCCGCCTCCCGCACGCCGCCGACTGGGGATGGAGCTCGCAACCCCGGGCAGGTGCCCTTGGCCAGGTATCGAACCCGGGACCCTTTGGTCCGCAGGCCGACGCTCTATCCATTGAGCCACACCAGCCAGGGCTTGTTTTTTGTTTTTTGTTTTAAATTGGTCGTAAGGTATGTGAATGTCAAATGGCTCCATTGTACGCCTGAGACTCACAGAAAATTGTGTATCAACTATAACGAAATAAAAACGAATGTGCATTGTTTTTTAAATAGAGAGAAAGGGGAGAGAGAGAAACATCCACGAGGAGAGAGAATCACGGATCGGCTGCCGCCCGCACGCCCCCCACTGGGGATCGAGCCCACCACTGAGGTACGTGCCCTTCACCGGGAATCGAACCCGGGACCCTTTGGTCCGCAGGCTGACGCTCTACCCACTGAGCCACACCAGCCAGGGCTCTTCTGTGTCTGACAAGGACCCTGTCCTTGGAGAGAGGCCCACCCTGACCCAGAGTTCTGTTCCCAGGGTCTGGGGGTCAAGACGTGGACACATCTTTTTTGGGGGGGGTCTGGGGGGGCTCCATCGTTGGACGCAGAATCCATCTGTAAGTTGGGTGTTCGTCAGAGTATCTACAGCAGCCAGAACGCTCATCACACAAGCTGGGCATCGGTTTCTACGATGACCAAGAACAGACTTCATCTGAGCATCCCACCTCCAGGGGAAGGGAAATATTCCTGCAATGCACAAGCCCCCCCCTACACACACACAGACACCCCCACACACCCCAATATCAGGAAACCTCTGTCTCAGCAGGTCACCGCCAGCGACTCCTCTCTGCTGGTTTCTATAAACTCCCAAAGGTGTTGTCAGAGGTAATACATGTTATTTGTTTTTTCTTCAAATCATATGACTTGGCATTTCTGTATATAAATAAACCGGGTGATTCGGTCTATTTATAAACACGGCCGCCAAGATGGGCCGGTTCCAGAGGAGCCCCAGTGGGTGGCGTGCAGGAGGCAGCTGATCCATGTTTCTCTCTCATCGATGTTTCTAACTCTATCCTTCTCCCTTTCTCTCTCTGTAAAAAAATCAATAAAATATATATTTTTAAAAAATCAATAAAATATATTTTTAAAAAACAACTATGCTAAGAATTTACAAACCAGACCTAGCACGTTTGACTCAGTGGCTAGAGCCTGGGCCTGCGGACTGAAGGGTCCCGGGTTCGATTCCCGGTCAAGGGCACAGGCCCGGGTTGCGGGCTCCATCCCCAGTCGGGGGCTTGCAGGAGGCAGCCGGTCCATGATTCTCTCTCCTCATGGATGTTTCTATCTCTCCCTCTCCCTTCCTCTCTGAAATCAATAAAAATATATTTTAAAAAGCAATACAAAACCGCACTAGATGGTTGCATTGGTAGATAACAGACATTTCTGGTAATTCCATGCATGTCTGAACGATGCTGTCGGTTCAGGACTGAGGAGATGGGAGGAGGACCCTTGGGGACCGATGCTCACTTGGGTGGGTCTTCATTCTCCACCATTTCCTGGGACAGACTCTGGGGGTGGAAACTCCCATACTTTTTATTTTATTTTATTTCATTTAAAAAATATATTTTTTTGATTTTTTTACAGAGAGGAAGGGAGAGGGAGAGAGAGCTAGAAGCATCGATGAGAGAGAAACATCGATCAGCTGCCTCCTGCATGCCCCCCACTGGGGATGTGCCCGCAACCAAGGTCCATGCCCTTGACGGGAATCAAACCCGGGACCCTTCAGTCCGCAGGCCAACGCTCTATCCACTGAGCCAAACCGGTTTCGGCAATATATTTCTCTTTCTCTCTCTCTCCCTCTCCCTTCTTCTCTGAAATCCATAAAAAATATATATTTAAACAAATTTTTTTCAACCACAGAGCAGGGATGTGGGTGCTGGGACAGGGAGCCATTCTCCTGGGGCAGCTACTGATGTGTACCTGCCGGCCCCCCAGGACCCCAGAACCCCAGAACCCCAGCCCCCAAGGACCCCAGAACCCCAGGACTGACCTAGGGCAGCCTCCCCAACTCAGTAAGGCTCATCACCTAGTGATAATTAACGAGGACCCCCCTCGGGCCCCATGAAAGAGAGGCCTCAGCTAATGAGCAGGCTAAGAGGAGGCAGCAGATGCATTTAATCAAAGGTCAAGTTTCAGGGCAGGGGGTGGCAAAAGGATCCCCCGCTGGGACCCCAAACACCCACTCTGCTCGCAAACACCCTTTGATCTCCCCAGTTCACGGTCAGCGAAGGTCACGGCCTTTGATTTAAAAAGCGTGGGACTTGCCCTGACCTGTGTGGCTCAGTGGATAGAGTGTCGGCCTGAGGACTGAAGGGTCCCGGGTTCGATTCCTGGTCAAGGGCATGTACCTGGGTTGCGGGCACATCCCCAGTGGGGGGCATGCAGGAGGCAGCTGATCGATGTTTCTCTCTCATCGATGCTTCTAGCTCTCTCTCCCTCTCCCTTCCTCTCTGTAAAAAAATCAAAAAAATATATTTTTTAAATGAAATAAAATAAAATAAAAAGTATGGGAGTTTCCACCCCCAGAGTCTGTCCCAGGAAATGGTGGAGAATGAAGACCCACCCAAGTGAGCATCGGTCCCCAAGGGTCCTCCTCCCATCTCCTCAGTCCTGAACCGACAGCATCGTTCAAACATGCATGGAATTACCAGAAATGTCTGTTATCTACCAATGCAACCATCTAGTGCGGTTTTGTATTGCTTTTTAAAATATATTTTTATTGATTTCAGAGAGGAAGGGAGAGGGAGAGATAGAAACATCCATGAGGAGAGAGAATCATGGACCGGCTGCCTCCTGCAAGCCCCCGACTGGGGATGGAGCCCACAACCCGGGCATGTGCCCTTGACCGGGAATCGAACCCGGGACCCTTCAGTCCGCAGGCCCAGGCTCTAGCCACTGAGTCAAACGTGCTAGGTCTGGTTTGTAAATTCTTAGCATAGTTGTTTTTTTAAAATATATTTTATTGATTTTTTAAAAATATATATTTTATTGATTTTTTTACAGAGAGAGAAAGGGAGAAGGATAGAGTTAGAAACATCGATGAGAGAGAAACATGGATCAGCTGCCTCCTGCACGCCACCCACTGGGGATGCGCCCGCAACCAAGGTACATGCCCTTGACTGGGAATCGAACCCGGGACCCTTCAGTCCGCAGGCTGACTCTCTATCCACTGAGCCACACCGGTCAGGGCTAGCATAGTTTTCTGTTTTTTTTTCAAAAGGGTAGAGGGAGGCTGCCAAAATGTCAGCTTTCCTGCAAGCAACATGTGTTTGAAAAAAAAAGAAGAAGAAGAAGAAAGAAAAGAGAAAAACAAAAAATGAGTTTCCAATGAGAAGGCTGGTTGACCAGCTGGCTGAGGAGATGATGGAGCAACAGCGCCACCTGCTGTCCGTAGTTGCAATTGTTCGTTCACCCACTGGTCACATCTATTGGGGTGTGAGGGGCAGAAAGGACAGGGGACCAGGGGGCCACGGGAAAAGCTCTCATTTCAGAAGGAGCTGCATGAGGGGAGACCGATAATGTCCCCCAGATGCCCAAGTCCTACTCCCCGTGTGGTAGACACAATACAATAGAATAGAGCAGCAGTTCTCAACCTTCTGGCCCTTGAATACACTTCCTCATGCTGTGGGGACCCCCAACCATAACATTATTCTCGTTGCTGCTTCATCACTGTCATGTTGTTTCTGTGATGAATCATCATGGAAATATCTGATATACAGGATGGATTTTCATGGTTACACATTGAACATCATGAAAGCATAGTGATTAATCACAAAACAATATGTGATTATAGATGTGTTTTCCGACGGTCTTAGGCGACCCCT